ATCAACACCACCACCTACTGATCCCCTATTTCTCCCCTCACATTCATGGTGTGAATCCCACCACAGAGTTTAGAGAAACCTCAGCTACGTCCAGATGTAGCTTCTCTTCTTCTTTCTCCCCTATCCCGCTCTCGCCTCCCTCCTCAGTTTCCTCATCATCACAGACGGTGAGAACCTTAAGAGTTCGGTCCTTACACCTATGCCCTGGCATGTACTTCTCATCGCATCTGAAGCACAACCCCTTAGCCCGCTTATCCTGGATCTCCTTCTCCGTCAGCTTCTTAAAATTCCCTCCATGCCCCCCTCCTGTCCTCTCCTTTGGTGCTTCTCGTGGTCCTCCTTGTGCAGCTCCTTTGGGGGCTAGGAAGGTAGTCGTCATCTTGTAGGATCCCCCAGAGCTACTGCCACGAGCTCCCCTCTCCAGGTGCTTCTGGTCCTGCACTAGCTGTGCCAACTCCATGGACTCCCCCAAATCGCGTGGTCTCATCACCCTGACGGATGCCCTGATCTCCTGTTTAAGCCCCTTCATGAAGTTCCCCTCCAGCACGGTCTCAGAAAGACGATCCAATCTGCTCGTGAGATACTCAAACCTGTCGCGGTAATCGGCTATCGTCCCCTCTTGTGTCAGGGCAAAGAACTGCCCGTAGAAGTCTCCTCCTCTACTGGTTAGAAAACACTCTAACAGACAATCCTTGAACTCCCTCCAGCTTCGAATGGGCCTCCTCATGTCCTGCAATTGGTACCACGCTAATGCTTTCCCTTCCAAACATAATCCTGCAGCTGTCAGTTTCTCATCCTCTGTCAACCCATTGACCGCAAAGTACCGCTCCACCTTGTAGATCCAGCCATGTACGTCCTCGCCCTCAAAGATGGGCATCTTCAATTTCCTCACCCTCGGATCTCCCCCGTTTCCCCTAACCCCTCCATATCCTCCCATTCCCGAGGGGGAAAAGCTCCCTAGTGGTCACGATCTTCCCTCCGTTGATCGTACTTCTGCCCTTCCTCATACTCTTCCCTCCTGCTCAGCACCTCGATGGTAGAACTCATCCCTTCTCCCAAAAAATTCAGCACCCCTTCTCTCATTGCCCATGCTCATCTCTTTCCTAGAAAGCAGTTCTAGCGGAGGCATTTCGTCATTCCATCAAGGATCTCCATTTTGGTAGTCTCCCTCCCCCTCAATGGGTTCGGGTTCCCGCATCTCCCATTGTCGCCGGTGGCTTCCCTTGCTTTCGATGTCGTCGGATTGGGTTTGCCCTCTAACATCTTCTTCATCATTTCTTCTAATGCAGTGAAAAATCATCCATCTTTTTATGGATGGATGCAAATTGAATTTGAAATTCAGCGGTTCTTTCTTCCAAATCGGTCTTCAGTTGGCTGATTTCACCCTCCAGAACTTCTACTTTCCTTTCGGCCATCTTCTCTCCCGAGGTTGCCAAGAAGTTCTCTTGCGGAAGAAGGTTCCTTGCTGAAATTTCTGAATTTCAGCCGCCGATGGTCCCAAGACAACGCTCTGATACCAATTTGCTAGGAAATACTTGAGTTCGCTAGTAACCCTCAGGAATACTTGAGTCCGCAAGCAAACCCCGATCACAATCGGAGTGGAAACATCAGTGGACAGCAGCCAATCACAGGGAAAACAGCGAGAAATAGCGAGAAAGCTGAGAGAAACTCAAGTAAAGACTTGTATTTCACTAGTAGATGAATAAAATCAGCAAAGATACAATTGTTCTTCAATTCAAGAGGAAGAACAACTCACCAAATCTCCGGCAACGCCAAGAGCCCAAAGCAAGAAAACCTAGATCTCAAATTCAAGATTGCAATTTCAGATCATCTCCCTTTCCCTCCTAATCCCCTAATTAACAATAATGGAGAAATACAAAATACCTAAACAATCCTTTCATTCAATTTTTCCCTCCCACACTTGCATTAAACCCACGTGGCCCTCCTTGGACTTCCGCCCCCCTCTCTCCCGTGTTTCTTCCGCCGAGTGTAGACCCGGACCGATCCAGGCTGGTGGGAGGGGAGGGGGTTTGGTTTACCGTTGGTTTTGGGAAGGTGGGTGGGAGAGAAAGCTCTCGGTTTGGGAGTAAAGGGGCGAAACAAGGTGGCGGGTTGGAGGAGGAATAGGGGATCAGCTCCCGGCTCCTATAGGCGGCTGGTGGGTGATGCTTGGCCCTCATCTAGGGTTCTACACTCTCTCTAGAACTCACAAAGAGATCATGAGCAAAAGCTGAATTTTTCATATCAATAATCATCATCCCAAATACAATAGAAATGACCTATATATAGGTCTCACCAAAAAACAAGAAACAAAGACTAAAATGCCCTCAGGGCTACAACATCAAATGACCACCCATAAGGGTAAAACAATAAAAACTGAAAATAAAAATAAACTATTACATAAAATGACTCAAAAATATAAGCTCCTGATCATAGCAGTCGATCTCCGGTGTCTCCTCTGATAAACATGCCGAAATCTCCTGCTGATGTCCTCATCACCTCATGTTTGATATACTACATCATTCTGTTGGGGCATGAAACTGTCATTTGAAAAATACGTGCAGTGATTTCTTGATGAATCTTGAAAAATGATATAATGGCTCAACATTAAATATTATGTATCATTGGAAGCCAAAAATATCTCCTTCCGATCGAATCTTGCATCTGTTGATGCCAATGGTAGAATGGGTTGGCAATGATAAATTAAAAACACAATAATTTGCACTACAACAAGTGGTAGAGTTTTTGAGGATGCCTCAACCAAGTAACATAGTTGCGGCAACTTTAAAAATTGGACCAATACTAATATTATGAGGCAATTCATTTACAGGCCCATTAATCTTATTTGTCTAAGATGGTAACAAATTTTTATAGCTTTCAGAGAAAAAACAAATAAGTGGTGCGTAGAAAAGTAGATCATGGTTTCAAAAAATTAGCGCCCATCTTTTTTGAAAGGGTTTGTTTTGAGTTAGATTTTTAAAAAACTTATTAGTTTGTGAGGAAGACACTATTCAAAGATTTCTTTCTCATTTTATGAGGACTTTATGATATGGTTTCATGTTTTCCATAGACAAGAATTCTATGGTTAATTATCCCTCCCAATTATAAAAGAGAAATTTTAATTAAAGTTAGTAGATGTTAAGAGATTTGTATATCATAGCAATAATTGTTTAGGATAGAGAAAATTTATTGGCTTTTGCTTAAAACTTATGTTGGGGGAATGATGATGAACCCAATCAAGAACTAATGTTTCCATTGTACCGAGTTGCTATGGACCATAGTTTTTTTAGTCAACAGAGATAATCAACCCAACTTGACCAATCTTTATTGACAACTATTAGTTGTATTGTTCAAAGTGACCTTGTGGATCTAGGAAGTGTTTGTTGACATTAGCTAAAACCATAAAAAAATGGAAACTAAAAACAGTGTGGCTGGGGATATGGAGAGATATGGGTATTATAGTGAGAACGTATGCCTGTTCTTCTACTCAGCTTCTTCCACGATACGCATGACTAAAAGATATCGGGTTTTTAACTGGTAACCTTAGAAATGATGGTGACGTAGCTATACAGTTGCTGCAGTTATGCTGTCTAAAAGCCTAATAGTATTCTATCTGCTATCGATAGTCAATGATCCCTCAAAAAGAGAAAAAGGAAAGAAATTTCAATCACCTATCCTCTGTTAAAAAGAAGAAAATATTAATCTATATAGCCACTTTGTGCCTTAGGTTCTACTTTTATTTGTTTTCCGATGTCTTTCATAGCTAGCATGTTTAGATAACTGACCCTTGAAACAAGGAAATCACTCTGCAGATTGCAGAATGCAAACATCATTAACTGTACATTATGGATGGCAGGGAATGGTTTGAAGATTATTGTAACAGTGCTTTTTATCCTGCCGTATGAGGCTCCCTTTTTGACATGATTCTTGGACATTCTTGCTTTCACTCATTTTTGACTTGAAGGAGCATCTTGTTAAGCGTATTTCTGTTGTTGGTAACAGCATACTTATTATTTTGTAGCTCATTTTTCCTAGAATTATCCTTTTTCAACATTCTTAGACATAGCAAGTTTGATTTAGATTTCACTCTTGAGGTTTTATTTTCACGGTCTGTTGGTTCTGAGCCAATTGGCATGGGCATAGGGTGGTGATTGAATGCTTGAGTTTAGGGCTGTCACAAGTTGACACGACCCCAAACCCGAAACGACCCGACTCCACCCGAAAAAATTCGGGTTTGGGTCAACCTGTTTGTGAAACGGGTTGGGTTGACCCGGCTAACCTGGATCCCACTTGATGACTCGACCTAGCTCAGTTGACTGTCAACCTAGCCTGCTTGATAACTCGACCTAGCCCGCGCTGCCACATGCCTGCCAGCCCACTGCTAGAGGCCCCTGCCGCCTGCCCTTTCTCCGGAGAGCTCCTGCCTCCTGCCTCGCGGGCACTTGCGGCCTTCCAGGTTGAGCCCCGCCTCCGCTAGTCCGCCTCACTTGCAGCATGCCGGCCTCACTCCTAATCCGTGTGATGACTCGACCTCGCCCAGTCCCTACGCGTCGGCTGACCCGAGCAACTCATCGACTGCGCCCACGGAAGGAAGGCATAAGTTTGGGCGGTTCTGGGTTGGAAATCCTCATGTTTGGGTCAACCTGTTTACACCTGGGTCAACTCAGGTTGGACCCAAACCGATCCGTTGACCCAACTTGACACCCTTGAGTCCATCTTCCACCAAAATGTATGGATGCAATTAACCCTGCTCTTTTTTAAATTTACAAACAGAAAACAAGTTAAGTATTGTGCTTTGGGAAGTAGCTAATACCTGTGTTATTGATGCAGTTATAGAAGCTTTTATTCATAAGTCTGTCATTGATTTCCACATCTATCGGGAGGAATAAATTTTCAAACAAAATCTATATTTTTTTTATTACTGTTTTGCTTCTCTTTTTTATACTAAAAAACTGATGATGTTGACTAAATGCTAAACGATATTAATTTATACTCTCCAGATGATGGGCTATTTTCAACATTACAAGTTCGGTCTCCATTTCCAATCTTTAGTTTTCTGGCTGGTCTGTATACTTACCTCTGTGATATTGTCCTTTGAGCATCATTTTCATAAGTATTTGTCTTTCAAGATAATTTTTTACCTGTAACAGACATTGATGAAAGATTCTGTGTCCAAAGGAAGGCATGTTGTACCAGCCAACGACCCTAATATTGCTGTTGATAATTTGGGTTTGGTCTCTACTCAGGCAGATAAGGAGAAAAAAAGGTTGCCAAATTTTGTTAATGATGACGCCTGTGCTGTTCTTTTGGATGTGTCTCTCCAACGATTGATTAAGAAAAGTAATGAATCTTGCTATGCATCAAATGATGTTCTAGAACTATGGAGTGATGATTTTGATGGAAGTGATTTCAGCCAATATCGTTCTAGATTGGTATGTGCTCTCAATCTTCTCAATGTTTTCATTGTGAATTACTTTTTTTGCCACTTTCTATTATCTCCTTCAAACTCATTGACCTACAATAGAGCTGTTGTCTCATTCTCTTATGTGAAATTTAAAAAATTCTTCTAGGGGAGGTGCAATTGCATCTAATCTCTGCATCATGTTGTAGATATAATTAATATTTATTCCTTATCTATCTTTGTTATTAATAATTTGCCACATTGGTTTTAATATTTTTAATGTTGACATCTAAATTTTGTCCATGAATTTTCATACATTTTGAAAAGGCAAAAGTTTACAGTTTATTGTAACCTGAAACTAGAGCAGAATGCTGGTAGATTGCTTAGGTATTGGTGAACTTGCCCTAATTGCGAGATTGTGTTCATGTGATTGAATCATGGAAACAACTTCTCTCTAATTGGCAAGATTGCATTTCTTAACCTTCTCCATATTATATGGTGATGTGAGCGGTGAGCCTAGTTACCTGGCACTCATTTAGTTTGTTGGAAGCTAGTTGGGTTGAGAACTATTGTTTGCATTGCTGGTAAAAGTCAATTATCAAAGAAAGAAGTTGAAGGATAACATTAAGCTTACATGCTTTGTTTCCATCGCATTTAGAACAACGAAATTACTCATGAAAGACCTATCGCAATCAATTTGAGCAAAAATTATCGAAAACAACGGACCATGAGTACGACGATACGTGTAGTTCCCAGAATGACCTCCATTCGTAAAATGGACAGCGTCATCGCATCTGGACCGTTGCAATTATTAGAAAGGAAAACCATATTGGTAGGTCCATACGAGAAATAATGACGAAAAAATATGTTCGCGCATCAGAGACTAAACAATATTCTATATGCATGAGTGATGAAAATTTAGCTAGCGAGTCAATAAGAATTTAAAAGTAATGTTTACTTATTATTCTTATAAAAATTTTAAATTTTAATGTACAATTTTAAAATTAAGACTTAAAGGTTTATTTTAAAATTTATATTTTGAAATAATAAATAAATTAATAAAATAATATTAAAAAATAAAAAATGCAATCTGGCGGTGCACCTTGCAACTCTCTTTTGTGTCCCTTTTTTATTTTACTTTTGTTTGAAAGAAAAAAAGGAAAAGGAAATAATACATAAGCCCATACCTATCCTAAAAATCCTTACATAACTTTCTTATCACTCACCATTCAAAACTCCTAACAACTGCCAATGCCAATGCCCAGGACCTCCTTATGCATCATGGTCTGATGGCCGACAGCCCCTAGCCAACCCCCTCACCTCTTTTTCGCATATGTTGAACACTGCCCTAGCCACCGGTCAACACAGCCTGTTGTTGACCGATGTTGTTTCCCTTACCCTCTCAGTCACCTTGCCCGACCACACCTGCAGCTGTCACATTGTTGGCCGACCGCCTCTATGCTCACGCTGCTTCCCCTTCTTTTTATTCCTCTCTCTCTCTCTCTCTCTCTCTCCCCCTTCTACTTCTCGAATCCTCCTCTCTTTCTTCTACCCCTCCCACCTTATCTCACCTTCTTCCCTTACGTTATCTTTTTAAACAGAGAGAGAAAGATCCTTTTCTTCTTCCTTCTCCCATCAATCTCCCTTTACCTCCCTTTCTCACTCTTCTCTCCCTCTCTCTCTTTATAAAGAGAGAGAAACTATCTCTCTCGATCCCCTTCTCCCTTTCTCTTCTCTGTCTCACTTTCTCTTTCTAAATGGCAAGCTTGGAAGAACTGCCTCTCTCTTTCTCTCTCTATTTAGAGAGAGAAAGACCTTTCTCACTGCCACCTTTCCCTCATCAACCCACTCAACTGCTTCAACTTTTTCACGTATATACTTATTTCACGTTGTCTCTACGTGTAGCCACTCAGCAACCTAAGCATCCTCATCGCTACAACACTTAATTTTATGCTTCTTTTTTAATAGCCAACATTCAATTAAAGCATTGCAGGTTTTACCATCATATTTTCAAAATTTTCTCTTAAGTTTGAGGCATACTTTCCTATCATATAAAAAGCTCGATGCATTCCTCCACTTTAGCTATCAAAGTTGAATTTTATTGATAATATCCTCATCTATTTCATTATCGCTTTGAACAATATAATCAAGATATTTAAAATGCGTGCTCTTTTTAATGACTTTATCACCCAATGTCACACTCCCATCACATGATCTATTACCGCTAAAATTATACTCCATTTATTCGTTTTTAGATCTACTCGAATGAAATCCTTTAGACTCTAAGGTTGACTTCCATAACTCAAGTTTTTGATCAACTTTCTCTCAGTTTTATCAACAAGATTAATATCATTATCCAAAAGCATACACCAAGGTATGGCTTAAAGCTAATCAATTGTTGTAACCTAACTAAAATAGAAAAATACTCGGGACCACCTTGTGTTTGAACACAAGTAATAGCTTTTACATACATATTGATGTGAAACATAAAAGGAATTGCAGTAATTTAATAAAAATTTGTTAAGCTTGTTAATTTTAAAATTAATGTTTTACAAGATTAGATTCTAGGATTTCTTAGTTGTTGTTGTGCTTTGGCATGCAGTTACAAACTATATTAGAAGGGCTATTTAAAATAACAACAAAATTATAGTAAAGCTTGATGCATAAATAACCGAAATCCATCGGTTAACAAATAGAATTTTCACCTCGAGTTTCCCTCACTGTCACTCTTGAGGGTTGTTTTAGCAGAAGAGTATTTTCAACAAACTTATGACGCCACTAAAAGACAGAGGATACCTGCAGTATTGCCCAACAAAAACTTAGCCGGAGGGGAAGAAGTCGATGGAGGTTGAAGAACTTGCCACTGCTCGGAGGTTTGATGCTCATCGATGGCTGTCGTCAAAGTGAAGAGAATCCGGTCGACGTAGTCGTCAACGGTGTGGTCAATCTCCAAGTTGAGGTTGAAGAAGGGTGAACTCAACACATCTACTCTTACTTGATGATCTTATACAAATCTATTCTCTTTTAGGATCGGCCATTCATGGGGAATAAGCCGGGGTTGTGTAATTTCTCCCTTGGGTCGTATGAAATAAGGGAGAAACGAAGAAGAGGAGGAGAGAGAGGTTGGAGTGGTCGGCCAAGGCTAGCAGAAGAGGCTTCTTTAGTTTCAGCTTTTTGTTTATGTGGGTGGAGGGGCAATAAATTAAAATATGAATTTTAATTTCAGATTTTATAAGAGAAAGGAGGGAATAAATTTTGAAATTCGAATATCCTTTAATGGGGGAAAAAGTGCGGCGGTCCACCTTGAATAAAGAGTGTTGATTGATAGCTTTTGTATATTAACTCCTTTCTTTTCATGAATTTTGTATTGCACTTCTTTTGAAACTTTATCATATGCTTTTTGTAAATCAATAAATATCATATGTCTATCCACCTTACTCTCTCAGTCTCTCTATACTTCTCTATACTTCTCTATTGAAACTCTCAATAAATGCATAGCTTCCGTAGTATTGCGTCACAACCTATGTTCAATTACTCTTTGTCGTAATTTTAATGTATGCCTTATTAACTTAATTTCTCTATAATTGGCACACTCTCATGCATCACCTTTTTATAAAAATAGGAACCAACATGCCACTTCTTCACTCATTTGACATCTTTTTAGACTTCAAAATAATATTAAAAATTTTAGTAAGCAAAAAAGTTCTTTGATCTTTTAAGTATTTCCACGCATATATTGGAATATCATTAGATCCTTGCATTAATTGTTGATTGGGGGAATTAAATCTGAATTAATTTCAGATTTGCGGGAATTGGGAAACTTCCTAAAATATGAAATATTAATTAGGAAATAATTTGAAATTCGAATTAGAATACTTTCCAAATCAATAGTTGGCTAATTTAGGAAAGTAATGAATGTAGGGGAACAAGGGGGATGACGGCTAGGGCTCGGGGAAAAGGGCTTAGGTCAGTGGCTAGGGGTGGAGGAGGAGGGAAAGGAGGCTTGGCCGGTGGCTTTTGGGTGGGGTTTGGCCGGCGGTAGTGGGGGATTAGGTCGGCGGGTTGGGTGGAGGGGAATAGTGGTCGGTGGTGTGGGAGGAGGAGCGGAAGGAGGCTTGGCCGGCGGTTTGGGTGGGGTTTGCCAGCGGTAGGTGAGAAGAAAGGGTGGGGAAGAAGGAAGGGGAAGGGGAAACCGAGAGCTCGAACTCTTCTGGTGGCTGTCGGGCATTGCTTTGACCTCTCTATGGTTCTCTCTTCTCACAGGAGCTCATAAAGAAACGAATAACAATAGCTGAAATTGCATTCATCAATCATCATCCCTAATACAAAAGTTAGGGCCTTCATATATAGGCCTAAAGGAAAAAAAGACACAAAAATGAAAGTTTCCTCTGGGCTACAACATGAACTAACCCCTCTTAGGGGTACAATGGTAAATCAGAACATAAACAAAAAATAAAATACATAAATCCATCACAAATAAAGACTCTTAATCGTAGCCGTCGATCTACGATGTCTCCTTTGATAGATGTGCCAGAATATCCTGTTGGTGTCCTCATCACATATCCTTAATGAATTTAAAGTATATTAACTCCTTTTCATGAATTTTGTAGTGCACTTCTCTTGAAACTTTATCATATGCTTTTTGTAAATCAATAAATATCATATGTTGATCCACCTTACTCTCAGTCTCTCTATACTTCTCTATTGAAACTCTCAATAAATGCATAGCTTTCGTAGTATTGCGTCACAAGCTATGTTCAATTACTCTTTGTCGTAATTTTAATCTATGCCTTATTAACTTAATTTCTCTATAATTGGCACACTCTCATGCATCACCTTTTTATAAAAATAGGAACCAACATGCCACTTCTTCACTCATTTGACATCTTTTTAGACTTCAAAATAATATTAAAAAATTTAGTAAGCAAAAAAGTTCTTTGATCTTTTAAGTATTTCCACGCATATATTGGAATATCATTAGGTTCTACGATTTTTCTGCACTTTATTTTTAAAGGCGTCTCCAAATTCAAT